TTAAGGGGGTCTGAATACTTTCCGTACCCACTGTATATGGATTTTATATTTTAGAATAATTTTACTCCATGCCCGTCAACTTTAGAATTTTAAATTATAGATATTTTTTCAAATACACCACCATTCAACATATTATAGTATTACTATAATAACATTTATTATTATGTACCATATTAGCATTAATGTTAATTAAAAAAGAATTGCTAAAATGTTAATTTATTATTATTATTACACTCAATTATTACATTTTGTATTATATTGCTATAAAAAAAAATTAAAAGTAGTTATACGGCAATAAAATCTTGACACTTAAGCAGAACGCTTGATACTAAAGGTTATTGTCATAGTCACGTCATAATGACAATGTCTACATGGTTATAATATTTAAACATTACTTAAAAAAAAAAAGATCAGTGCTATTAATATATTTAGTTTTGTGTATTTTGTTTTTTATCTACAAATACTAACAAGATCACATTTAAATAACATTCAAATAATGTCCCTGCATAACTTATATATAACTTAATATAATTTTTTTTCCCAGCTAGAATAAAAAACAACTTTTAGAATTGTAAAAACTGTCTATTTATTAAAAAATAAAGTGTCAGAAATGTTTAACTCACATTCGCAGTAGGCCTTTGTAGAAGGGTCGTGTGAAGAAGGCATCCAGCAGGTATTGATGGATAAGAGCGAGACCCAGAATACGACCACTAAACCGAAACCTGACGACAGAACATGTTTAAAACATTGAGGTACATTTCTGCTAGTTCAGTCTAGTAAAGGACATCTTATAGGCACAGATTGATCAAAGGACCATCTGAATCGTTCTTTTAATGTTGGATGTGCATCGATCAAATCAAATCAAATCAAGCTTCAAAACAAAAGAAAATGTGCACTCACCACTCATGGTGGTTGTCGACGAAGGCAGACATGGGGCTGATCTGGACGGTGTAGGTGTCATTGGCTGAATACTCAAACAGGCCGTAGTATGGGTTAAAAAGCTCCCGTGACACCAGAAAGAAAAACTCTCGGGACGGGCCACTGTAGTCCAGTCTGAACGGGAGCAAAATTAAACGAAGAAAAAAAAAAAGTTAATTAATACAAAAAAAGGTAAAATTATAATAAATAATCATCATGAAAATGGTGATAATAATAATAATAATCATTGTTATTATTATTATTATTATTACAATAATAGGCTTTGGATATAAGACTAATTTATTTTTAATTAAGTATATTTTTATAATGGTTGTTATACAAGTCTGGTTATGTTTTAAAATTGTGGAAACACTGACCCCTCTTCTCCAACAAAGCTGACGTAGAGTTTACTCCTCTGTAGATCTTTGCGAGAGTAGCACATGATCTGATTGAAGGCGTCCTCCAGTAGATGATCCCTGCGGATTATCAACCTAAAACAAGCACAAATCAGCATGAGTGTGAAAATGTGTTACAAATGAAGACCTCAGGGTAGAGACCTGCGCGGGACGGATTTTTCAGTCCTGCTCCCGCCCGTTCCCGCAAGATTCTGTCCCGCTTTGCCTGGGCCCTGTCCGTAGCCTTTAGTCTCCAGTTTGCGATAGAAATTCCGAAGTTTGGCTTCAAAGTCCCGTTTGTACGGTGCAGGGGCCCGTGCGTTGGCTCGCTGTGTACCTGAGAGGGAACAGATCATGGTTATAATACAGTACAGCTAAAAAAAAGTGACTCAAAATCAGCATCTTGTTATCAAACATAGATAAATGTATAGAAAATGTATAGATTATGCAGAAAAATTCAGGTTTTATTTGTCAAATCTGATGACAAATGAGATGTCTTTAATATATCAGATGTTTCTCCTAGAGCCAGACTATTTGATTTAAACATAAAATTAATTAAATACTGAGATCACCATCAAATATTGCAACACTATACTACAAGAGCGACCTCTGAACAATGAAAACATCCACTGGGAAAATAAATAAATAAATAAATACTAATAAAAATAATAATAATAATAATAATAATTATTATTATTATTATTATAATTTACATGAAATGGTTCTGTAACATCTCCTAAGCTCCACAACAAACCAGCATAAACACTCCCGATAAAATATTTGTTATTTAGGCTAAGCATCAATATTCACAACCACTGTTATTTTTTACAGAAAGCAAGCATGGGCTGCTGCGTGCATGGTTTGGCATGGCAGAATGCGAGCAGCACGCTTCCTTTATTATCACAAAAAGCTGACATCTCAGTTAATCGCAATCTCATAAAGCTCTGTTATAACACTAAATATATGCACAATGAATCTTTCACAGTGTCTAAAATGAGAGGATTCGTGAGCACGCAATTTCACTTTATGTTTAGATCATTTCTATTTTGCGGGAGTCCCGCAAATCATTTTATTCTCCCGCATCCCGCACACACACGAGTCTCTTCCCGCCTGCACCCGCACTCGCCCATCGAGAGTTGTCCCGCGCCACACCCTGTTGCGTTGGGTCCCGCGGGAGTGCAGGTCTCTACCTCAGGGTACGGTACACATGATGCTTACTTGACTTTGCCTGGACCCTGTCCGTAGCCTTTAGTCTCCAGTTTGCGATAGAAATTCCGAAGTTTGGCTTCAAAGTCCCGTTTGTACGGTGCAGGTGCCCGTGCGTTGGCTCGCTGTGTACCTGAGAGGGAACAGATCATGGTTATAATACAGTACAGCTAAAAAAAAGTGACTCAAAATCAGCATCTTGTTATCAAACATAGATAAATGTATAGAAAATGTATAGATTATGCAGAAAAATTCAGGTTTTATTTGTCAAATCTGATGACAAATGAGATGTCTTTAATATATCAGATGTTTCTCCTAGAGCCAGACTATTTGATTTAAACATAAAATTAATTAAATACTGAGATCACCATCAAATATTGCAACACTATACTACAAGAGCGACCTCTGAACAATGAAAACATCCACTGGGAAAATAAATAAATAAATAAATACTAATAAAAATAATAATAATAATAATAATAATTATTATTATTATTATTAT